TTGTAATTAAATTGATTTGTTTACGATCCGAATGTTGCATCTTTCTGAATTTGTATGGACACTACGTTCTTCGGTGTGAGTCGTTTTTAACAATTTTCTCCTTTTAGACGCAACAGAAAGAAGTAAGATTAGAAGCGATCAAAAGCGCTTTTTATCGTGTTAAGCCTATAGCTCCATTAATTTTTCGCAAACACTCCCTTTAAGGTAGCCATTTATAGTGTAGATACGTGCATACAAATTTCTAAAACTATTTTTGAATTATGTTTAAATATATATTTTTAACTATTCGAAAACAAGAAAGTATTAACCAATTGAATTATCTATCTATCTATCTATTTAATTACACTGCTCTTTAGAGGTATAAAAGACCGGTTTAAAAACAAACCATTAATTCTATGTTTAAAGAGAGCCGTTAACGTTTTTGGGTTGAGTAAGAGGATACTCCGGACTAGAGGAACAATAGATCATAAAATTAAATCCAGAGAGAAAGAATAAGAACAATATCAATTTAAGAGTGTTTTCTGAGGCTGTTAAATTTTGTTTTACTATTTCTTAAAGCATAAAGGCTGTACATGTAAATGTACTGCAAATCACTGAAGTACAAACCAAAAGCTTAGTTAAGGGTTTAGCAAATACTGCCTGAGTATTTTGGCAATCTCCCTGTTCTTTTTTCTTGTCCAAACAAAATCTTTATTGATATATTCACTATATTCTGGTGTTTGAGAAGGTTCACACAAATTCTAAATGACATGGTTCATTCAATTCTTTTCAAAAATTGGGTTTTAATGCTTTTACAACTGTAGTGTGTATGGCAAGTTATTTTAAAAGTGATCAAAAATATTTAGGTTCATGTTTTTGCAATTTATATAAATTGATATGATGGATGGTAGAAGGGAAGAATAGAAGGATAGGATGAATAGGATTGGATGGATGGATAGGATAGATAGGAAGGATGGTATAAAGGAAGAATGGATAGGATGGATAGGATGGATAGGATGGATGGGATGGATAGGATGAATAGGATGGATTAGATGAATTGGATCGATGGGATGGATTGGATGGATTGGATGGATAGGATGGATGGGATGGATGGGATGGATAGGATGGATAGTATAAAGGAAGAATGGAAGGATATAAATGATTCGATGAAAAGTTTGAGATAAGAGATTCTATATAAGTTTGTTGCTGCAGTATTAGATCTATGCTAATTTCTGCACCTTTTTTCTGCAAAACTTTGGCAAATTGCAATCTTCGGCCATTTAGACAGGAGATCTTAGTTTACATCTTTAAGTGCATTTTTTAATAGAAATGTATTTGCACGTTTATTCATAAAGAAAACAGGCCAAAAGTAAGGGTGAAACTATTTGGCACTTTTTTGATAACAATCCACCTTGCACCAGTTCTAAGCTTTGATATACTTCTAAAAATAATTTCAGAATTTTTATTTTTAATTTTTAAAGCTTATTAAGATTTTTGCTTTTTTGTGTAAATCAAATCACTAATAAAGCCAGAAAACGTTAAATTCATAAAAATCCTTTGAAAATTAAGCAAATTATAAGCAAAAAAAACTGTTTTTTTTTCAGCGTTTCAAAAAACTAGTTTTTTAGCCTTTGATAAAACAATATTTGAAATATCAAAAAACGGGCAAATGGGCGGTATTCAGCGGTTAATCGTTGTTACCCGTATCGACATGTTTTGCTAAAATTGAAAAATCAGTCTACTCTTATGATCTTTGTTTTTCTTAAATCGTTAATTTCTGGATGAATTTTTTTTCTAAATATTTTTCTCTTATAAATGTTGTTAATAATTTGCTACTGTATACATTTTTGCTGGTGCAAAAATAATTTGGATTTTTTGATGAAAAAGTTCCACCCTTACCTAAACTAAAGGGGTGTTACAGTGGGGGCCAGGTGGGTTGGGTCCACCCTTACCTAAACTAAAGGGGTGTTACAGTGGGGGCCAGGTGGGTTGGTTCCACCCTTACCTAAACTAAAGGGGTGTTACAGTGGGGGCCAGGTGGGTTGGGTCCACCCTTACCTAAACTAAAGGGGTGTTACAGTGGGGGCCAGGTGGGTTGGGTCCAACCTTACCTAAACTAAAGGGGTGTTACAGTGCGGGCCAGGTGGGTTGGGTTCACCCTTACCTAAACTAAAGGGGTGTTACAGTGCGGGTCAGGTGGGTTGGGTCCACCCTTACCTAAACTAAAGGGGTGTTACAGTGCGGGCCAGGTGGGTTGGGTCTAAAAACTTGATTCTCCATAATAAAAAGAATATTGTGTACAATATAAGGCCGAGGGGAAATGAATATAATAAACATAAAAAGCCAGACAATTGTAAATTATCTTAAATAAAAAATATTATACTGCCGGAATACTAGACTAACTATAAATCTTGTAAGTAAGTTATATAAATGAAGAAAATGGGAGGTTGCAACTCATAAGAGCGGGAAGATCTGGGTTGTTAACTTTAGGCTTATTAACCATAACCATAGCTGGAGCTGCTGCCGTCTTTGAATTAGATATAAAAAAGGTTATTGCCCTATCGACGATAAGCCAACTAGGAGTAATATTTTTTAGTTTGGGTATGGGTCAACCCTTTATGACTTTGTTCCATTTAATTTCTCACGCTTACTTTAAAGCAATATTGTTTATGGCGGCTGGGTCTATTATTCACACTGTTAAAGACTACATGATTTAACTAGAAGTTTAAGCAGATTTGTTTTTATTAACATGTGGAAGGAACTGATTACTCGCCACAAATTCTATAGTTTATCTTTGTAACCTCAAATTATAGATCTAAAATGTTACGAAAGGTTGAATCAAATCTTAAGACTGGTTTAACTTTGAAGTATTGTAACGCCTTGGCTTTATTTTACCTCACTAATTCACCTTTACTTTTTTTGTAGTCCTAGACATGTTTATTTCAGAATTATAAACCACTTGTTTTTAGCTTTAGTTTAAAGAAAGGAGTTAGCAAATTCTTATTGATTTTTTGAATGAGAGCTTGCCACATTTGGATCACTGTGACCTCATACTTTTAAACAAATAAAAATATGGGGTTAAGTTGCAACTGTTTTTAAAGTAACCCAACCTTGCCATAACGAGTGCAACAAACACCTCTCAATAGTATTCTTCAAAGCTTTATACGAGAAAAGATGGCGAAGTCCTTTTCATCATAAAAAAAAATTCTCCAGCATTTCTGGAATGAGAAACTTGGACAACGCTAAACCAACCATGGTGCTACAAAAAGTATTAGAATAAACTAAGTCACATTTTGATAAATGTATCAAACAAATTGAAATCTTTAATCTTCAAAACGTAATGAACAACGATATTTATAAAGTATTCAAAAAAATATCATATCACCAATATCGTTTTTCTGTGCTGTAAAACCTTACGCGCGTTAGTCATTTTTAGACGGGCTGTATAAGCGCAAAAACGACTATGGCCAATTCAAAACGGTAGCCTTATAAGTTTTGTCTGATCAATTGTATAGATTAGATATCAATGGTTATAATTAATTTTAAAAGTGAAGATTTTTAATTGTGGTTGCTCTACAAAAGTGACTTACGCATCTCTACAGCAGAGCAATTATAGAGATTTTCTGTATTCAACATTTTAAACCTAGAAAAACGTCAATATCTTCAACATTTGTGATCAAATAAAAGTGTCACAGTAATGAATCGGACATGGCCATATTTTTTAAACTTAAGGTTCACTTGAAATTGCACCTACAGTCCCTTTAACTGTGAAAAAATTTTACGAATAATCCAAATAAATTTTAGATTTTGTTTCACCCTGTAATATAAATAGTTTTTCCCCCCCCTGGTATATACTGTATACTGTATATTGTATAAACTATGTAAAACTAATCCTACAAATAATAAAACTGTATTGCCCCACTGGGTACCACAGTCCCCCACAACTGTTGTAAACTAGGAAGGGGGGGGGGGTTGAAGCAAAACAAAATATTCAAGTCTGGAAAGTAAAGACCTTTAAAGGGATTGTACACGTATTTTCAGGTGACCCTCTTTTTAAAAAGAGTTGCATGCACAATTCACACCTGTACCCATGAAACCTTTATAGGAGAAGTTTATTATCTTAATATGGGTTGAATTCTGACTATTTCCTTCATCATGTCTTCATTACAAAAGCGCAATTAACGACCAGGTCAAAGACATTCAAAGATCAAAGTCATGCGACATTACTTGTACAATATTGTGACCTCGTAGCTCCTGAACTTTTGATTTTACTTAAAGATAGGAGAAAAGCAAACATATTTGGTTTCAGATTTGAAATAGCTCTTCAGTAAGAGGAATAAATAAATAAATAAATAAATAAATAAATAAATAAAGAGGAGTAATGATTGAAAACACATAAGATTTCAAGCGTGCGTGCAATTTACTTTAGTTTGACGTGTTACGCTGTTATATATGCACTTCCGTAAACTTGCTGCAGGAACCAGCTTAAATGAATAACAAGAATTAGCTGAACCGCGCAAACTTAATTCAACAATCTTCATGACAGAAACAATCTCAAGAACTAACGAGGGTCAACCCAGACCGAAATATATTTTCAATAAATGTGGAACTAACATCTACTTTTTTTACTCTACAGAGGTTTGGTCCATCCCATCACCGAATTTTAAATGCACTTCTTTTCTTTGCCAGTTTTAGCTGAACCGAAGTGGTTGAACTACGTCCACACGGTTCAACCAATTCATTAAATCTAGTCACTAATTATTGAATGACAAAGTGTATATAAAAAAGGGTTTACAATCTTTTCCGGATCAATTCAATTGTCTTGTAGAACCTTTTCCCAAGCTGTTAATGAATGCAAAAATAGAAAAAAAACAGAAATTAAGGGTCTAACCTTTTATAACCGAACCAACAATAAATATATCATTATATATGACTTTTTTAGATCATTAACCAATTAAGATGAACTTCCTTTAATTTGAGGAAGTTGTTTCTAACATACTTGGGAAATACAAAAATTATTATGAGTTTATGATATTATATATCCATATTTATTTTGTTATCACGAAACGATTTTCTGTTATTTTTCAGGATGAGAAAATTAAGGATTTTTAGGTCGTTATTTTAGTATCATCCTTTGCGCAGGTTAACACTTTATTATTATTAAATGTCAACAATTAACTTGCAGTAAAATATGACTTTGTCTGTCCTACGACGAATTGAAAATTGTTTTCAGAATTTTGTTATTGTTAATTTTTTTTAAAAGTCGACTTTTAAAAAGTAGCATTTTCAGTCGTCAGTTAGTTAGTTAGTTAGTGTTATTTTTTCCTCTTCAATTTGTCGTGCGCGCAAAATCACGGCAAAATATAACAGTTCTACTTTTTCGGGCCTGAAAGGCTGAAACGCAACAGTCCCGACTAGAAATTCTAATTTACAACAATTTAAACGTTTTTTTCAATGAGTAAATTTATTTTAAGAACACAGCCAAATTAACAATGATATAATTTTAATATTATTTATAAGAACAATTTTTGCAACTTTTATAATTTTTTTTATATATTTGTAAAAAGGCGGATTTATTAAAATCTGGGAACTTCGGGTAAAAGTTTTATCCTAGGTTAAAAGTTGCAAAAAAGTTTGTTCATCAATATGATGAACACGGTAATTTTTAATATTCTGCCTTTTTAAAACTTTTTAATTTCAAAGTTAAAGCTTTGATAATCTCAAGTTTAAAAATTCCGAGAATTGGTTTAAAACTAGGCATATTTTAAACAGGAATGAAATTGACTAACATTTCTCTATTTTACTAAAATATAAATTTTTTATATCAAGTTTAGACGGAGGAATGATCCGAGCAATCTTGTCTTGAATGATAGATAACTCGTGTTTTATACATTTGTACCTCCGGTGATCGTCGTCCGTCCGGTGCATACCGAATTCCATCATGATCGGCATATTTGTGACCCCGACCTGAATATCCTCCGTCGGTAAATTGTCCGGAATACCCTCTTGGAACACTGTTATAATGTAAACTTAGGTCATTTTCACTTCCATTAAAGTTTCTGGCGGGAAAATTATTTTGGCGGATTTGTCGCTGTCCGCCATCTTTAGATCCGCCATTTTGTCTGTAGCACGTGGAACTGTCGCCATCTCTTTTAGATTTAGAAATGATCTTCTTTGCCATTTGCAGCCACCTAGAAGCATGAAATGCTGATTAAATTAAGATATAAAAAGACTGAATTATAATAATATTGCTGCGGATTTGGGAAAACTTGGTCGGGTTTACATTTTTGCAGAAATGGGGAATATTTGCAGGGCTCTGCGGAGGGTTATCTAGGATGAATTTCAAATAAAATCTGAAATTATTCCTAGTATATTTTATGTAGATTTATAGCAAAGATTTAGACGTTATCCTCAAATCCATACATGTTCATACACTTTATCTAACAGACTATACAATAAGGGGGAAAAGAAAAGATATAAACTAAGATGAGAATTTATGAATATGAAAAGAGGGAGGAGGTACTTTTGCACTGTGGAGCTAAACTTGAGATAAACTACCTTCTTAAGATTTAAAAAAAATCATTTAAATTTTATGGGGATGGTGGATTTTACAGACAAGAAAATTTATTTTCAAAAAAATTTGCGCGAAACAATTTTTTAGAGATGTTAATCAGGTAAGGACCTAACAAACTATTTTTATAAAATCTTACCCTTGAGGTGTCATCAGCATCTTTGCCTGCTGAGTTCTCATTTGAGTTCTATATTTTGCCGCGAAGTCATAAATGTCGTCGTTTTCACGGTCTGCCATACAACTGCTCGGCTGAAAGAAAAAAAAACATTAAAAAATAATGAAAAGAGAAATTAAAACATATTCAAATAAATTTGAACAGAACTTACCGCATAAGCCCCTGGTTGATAAATGGGTTCACTGTCTGAATACGATCTCCCAGTCTAAAACAATCATAGATTACTATTTTTAATTAAAAAAATCTTAGTATAGGTGGACGCTCATTCAATTTGTTATTAAATTCGCGTGAATATTGATTTATCTTAATCTAAACTGGAATACAGTGGTAACCAGAAAACTCTGGAATATGAAGGCAACTTTTAGACTAAATTTTTAACCTCAAGTCCGATGAACATGACATAGCACTTGTGCAGTGTAAACAGACCCCGTTAATTAAAAAAAAGATTTAATAAGTAACCAGTAAAACTATTTGCTTTATAACAACATCAAATACACTTAAGGATTACTATTATGTTGTCTTCCTATTCTATATTTTCTGGTTCTCAGTGTTGTATCATCACGCAAGGTTGCCAAAAAAAATGTTAAGAGGGGGTGGGGTCCAGAAGAGGTTTATTTCAAATTCTACTATATCTAGCTATCTAACTATTTTCCTATCTTTATAATTCCCAAGATTAAGGTGTATTCTATATGCAGATTCAAATACATGAATATTAAATATTAATACAGGGTGTCATGAAAAATTGGATATAATTGGAAAAATGGATTAGAAATAATGTTTTTACAAAAATATCTGTTTTCGAATTTTTTTTATTTCCGTGTGATGTAAACTTTACAACATACAAAATACATCGAATTATATATTTTGATAAAAGATTCTCTAAGATTTAGGAGAAAAAATTAAAAGTTGGACATCAACTCCACCCCCCTCCCCCCTCCCAACTTTTATCAATAATTTTCACAACTCAAAAATCATTTACAGGATGAGACTGTAAACAAGCCAGTTTTGGTCTGCAATGAATGTAAGAAAAGGTACTCAGCAAATTCCGTTCAGTCGTCTCTGAAGTCTCATCCTTAATGGGTAACCCTGTGGTTTCCCGAATTTAGCGGAAGTGGAGGGGAATAGCATTTTGAAGAAAATATACACCCCGTATATGTAAACATTCATACAACGTAGATTATAGTATAGATATCTAATATGTGTATCTCTATGATGGTAGATTAATTCAAATATCTGACAGCAGTAGATATCAAACAAACAAAACAGAATAATAAACAAACATTAAATCGTGAACAAAAACAAACTTTATTTTGCAACAATTAAATTTATAAAAAATTATTGAAAGTTTCTTTTATGGAACTTTTTTATCTAAAAAATCTGATAATAAGGAAAACGGAATTGAGGGAATCAGACCGAATACAGTTTCAAAATTGAACACCATACATGTGGAAAAATATACACCCTTAACGGAATCTATCAAAAACGTCATTTATTTAGTTTCCCACATTATGCTGATATTCACAGTTTCACAGTGGTTTAAAATCAGATTTCATGGCCATCAGTACATAAAAGGCTATAAATGTTAAACTATTTTGACTAGAAATCTGATACTTTGATAAAGTAATTGGTGCTATCCATATTTCGCGATCTTAATAAAAAAGTTGAATTTGAGGTGATAACTTATGAAATAGAATCATAAACTTGTTATTCAACGTTTGCGCCTGCCTCTATATCAAACAAATGGCTCAACCCAATTCAAATATATTTTTTGAATTTGTAATTAAAAGTTATGACAAAAAAAAAATTTTGTTGACATAAAAAAAATTTCTTCTTAATTTTCAATTTCCATCATTCTTGAAAACACGGAATTGTGGAAAAAATATTTTAACTTTTTCGTCTTTACAGTTAAAAAGGAACTGAGTTTCAGTCACAAACTCAAATTGTCTAAAATTTTTAATTTGCCACTTTTTAAAATTATTTTTTTTTTACGTTTTAAGGTTGTAATTTAAACGCCAGAACTTTATGTTTTGCTTCAAATTTTTAATTTTTTAATTGGTAAATATTTCCTAAACCGGAGCAGTGCCCAAGCTAAACTGTAAGCCAATGGAAAGCTAACATCTTCAAGATTTCAAAACATATATGGTTTGGTATGAGCACTGCCCCGGCGTTTGAGTTATTCAAGGATGTGAAAATTTTGGAGGGTAAATTGACTAAAAGTTTACATTTTCGTATAATTTGTTTTGTGTTTTGGTCATTTTCTAAGAAAAAGTAAAAGTAAAATTCCTTAAATAATTTAAATTATATATCTCTGTATCACTTAAGAAACATTTTTTTTAAATTTAAGTGAAAAATATAAAACATAATTATGCTTCTTTAAAAAATTCAAAAATAGCAACAGTTTACTAGAACTTTTGAAAAATAATCACAAAAGTACAAAACTTAATGTCTTATTACTTTGCTTCTAGAAGAGCTTTCAACACAATTTTTTCGGTTCTTAATCGGCCTTTTATTAACTTATCTGGAACAAGAGTTTTAAGCAATTTTTTTTCTGTCCGCGGTTTAATCCCAGTGTGAGTTTTAGTTTAATGCTTCTTTGTGAGGCTAAAAGTTTGGAGTACAGAAGGGCCAAATAATTTCTTTAATAAGAGTTTAGTTTGATGGAGGTGATGCTGCTAGTTATTGTTACTCAATTTATTTTTTTTATTTCGAGCTAGGGACATTTGCGCATTGATGCCGTTGGCAGGATCACTTGAAATTTCGCTTATAGTCCCTTTAAATCCATATTTGGTTGCATCTTAAAAACGGTTTAGTTTTTACCCTTTAGAGACTTAAACCCTTAACTAATCCTGATAGACAGTTAGATAAACAAATAGATATAATAGACAGGGGGATAGATAGATATATATAGACAGTGGATAGATGGATAGAAAGACAGATAGAGCCTAATATGGTGTTATCTTAACACCATCTAAACTGTATAGACCTGGACTAAACCTACAAAAACACGGGATACCATCTTGCCAGGATTAAAAAGTCACTCCTTTTAATTTAAGGTAAGAATGTGTGTCTGAGGGGTAGGGATGGACAAATTTAGCTTTTTTCAATTTCATTTTGTTCATTTTGAGCAAAATCAATTTGACATCATATGTGTTCCTTGTTAGTCGTTATCTTGTCTACAAAATTCATAAAATTAAAAACGAAAAAAAAAATTTCGCAAATTTTTTGAAGAAAACGTTTGGAAAAAACGATGAGTTGGCCTAGTCGAATATAAAAAGAAAAGGGGGGGGGGCATAAAAGACGCTATGTTTGTATTTGAGGGGGGAGGAAGGGGAGAGGGGTTGAAAAGTGCCAGTAATTTGAGGCAATTATTTACATCCGGAGATATAAAAGGAACAAACTTTAATTACAAACAGAATACTTTCTAAACAAGTATATGTAAGGGTTATTTAAATACAAAAATCTAAAAAACTAATACAAATTTTATAAAAAAGTTGAGTATAATATATGCAAAACATAAACACATGAATAAGAAAAAAAAAATAGTGAAATAAAGAATCAAAAGATGAAAAAAATGCATGTGAACAGAAAAAAATATATAAGAAAAAGAAATGATTATTGAGAAACTGTCTGAAGAGTAGAGAGGAATAGCATATGTATATGTATAGATGTAATTAGGAAATGTAATTTATTTTCTTAATACATCAGCCGTAATGTACTAAATGTACACTGTACACTGTAAATAATTATGTACCGTGTACATAATAATCTGCATCGTGTACATAATAATATGTACCGTGTACATAATAAACTCAAAACCGAGAGAAGTATATGTATGAGATATCTTTAATTTTTTGGCTGGAAATTGATTATTATCAAGTGTGGGTTCCATGTAAAATAGAATTGCGGATTTAAGCTGCAGAGACACAAATAATCATATTTTAGGATAGAAAAATTGTAAAGGGTACAGTGTACACCGTTGTGAATCTGACATTCTACTCTAAAAGTGAAGTGTCACTTGAAAATACGTCTACAACACTTATAATGAGATGAAAAATATATTTTGCTCATTTTTTGTTAAAAAATTTAAACCCTAATTATGTGGTAAAAATATAAATCCCACCGGTGGATAATTCTGGTAATTATGCTGAAGATTTAAACCTCCGCCCTGCTGGTGTTTAGGAGCATGTAGAGGATTGCTGGGGGGCGGAGGGGCCTGATCTGACCACTCCGCCAGACGAAGGTCCTCTAGCTGACTCAAGACGTCTTGGAAGGTGGTTCTGAGGTCGTCTGCTAGGCAAGCCGCCAGCGAGGCAAGATGACCACTCGAGTCTCCGGACTAAAAGAAAAAAGAATAAAAAACACTTAATATGGATGCTCATTTTTTTCTCAATGCCCAGTAAAACCTTGAGATTTTTGTGTACTTCTCTATCATGCTTATGTGTATTTAATGGTGCTTGTAAGTTTTGCAATTTGCCAAAATTGTTGCAGAAAAGGTTTGCGACATTATTTGCGAAAGTATTTGGGAAATGAGATGAGTTTGAAGGTAAGTAGAACATCAAGTTTTCAAAACCAATTTATTTAAAAGAAAATAAACTCGAACCAGCGTTCGTATCGTAACCCCAGGAGAATATACTCTCCTCACAGTGATTGAACAAGGGGGGAAATAGATGAAAACCCACTATGCACTGTGGATTAACAAAGGGGGAAATAGATGAAAACCCACTACGCACAGTGTTTTGACCTGGGGGAAACTAGATGAGAACCCTGTATACACAGGAAGGTAAGCCCACTGTGGACACCCAAAATTTAACAAACTACGCATCCCTGTAAAATCCTCGAAACTTCATCTTTTTGTACAAAAACTAGTTTCTTCTGACCTCCTACCCCCNCTTCTTGTGTACATTATTTGAAATGTTTTCTATAAGATGTTGAAGTAAATAGAATTATCTGTCGACTGTGAACACTCCTGCATCCAGCAGCGGCAAATCTAATTCAAAATAACTTTTTCCAGAAAAAAAAAATATTTTTTTAACAAAACAATTTTAAATATAATAAGAGGGTAGGGTGAATAAAAAATAATTTTATATATCCCCATGGGCCGGAAATAATTCGCCACCCTGTAATTAGGAGACAATAGAGAATCAGAATTGAACTGAAGGGAGTTAGGTTCTTGGGAAAAAGCAAAATCATCTCGTCAGAGTGAGTCGAAAAAATATGAAATCATCTGTACAGGGGGATTCAAAAACAAAAAGGGTGGTTGAAAAAATCGAATAATTCTAGCATGTTTGACAGAATATTTATAAAAATAAAAGTAACGCTTTATTAAACTATTTGTTCACAAAATCATTGTAAAAATATCAGATAAAGATGGTTTGGAATCATTGCAAGCAAAGTATCAATGCTGAAAATGGAGGGGGGGGGGCGCTGAGTTTTAGCTCTACCACAACTGTCTGTTTTCTTTATCTGATATCTGTTCCTTTCTTGCAGTCTAACGTTTTTCATTATATTCAATACATGGGGAATCCTATATCTTAATCTTTCTTGTAATCTTAAACACACTTTGTTCTTGTTTTTAGCCCACAATTCTAAATCTAGATTTAAAATTCACTTCTATTTTTTTTTGTTCAATTTAAACTCAGCTCTGGTTCGATCTAATTTGGCCTCAGTTTCAATCTAAGTCTAACTCTAAACCCAGTTTTGATCGAAGTTTAAACCCAGTTTTGATCTTAGTATAAACTCACTTTTAATCTTAGTTTAAGCCCAGTTTTGATCTTAGTTTAAACCCAGTTTTGATCTTAGTTCAAACTCAGTTTTAATCTTAGTTTAACCCAGTTTTGATCTTAGTTTAAACACAGTTTTGATCTTAGTTTAAACTCAGCTTAAATTCTACAGTTGATAAGAACAATATACCCAACATTTTTGAACTAGGAACATAGATTCTTTAATTAAAGTTTTATCTCAACTTTTATCACTAAATTTGTGACTATGTCGCTATAATCAAGTAATTTTTCGACGTTTATATCTTTACACTATAAATGAAATTAATTAACACAAATCAAATTTCAACTATGCTTAAAATTTCTTTGATTTAAAATTCTTAATGTTTAAGTTTAATTTTAATAGCTTAAAACATAAAGATTTAATCTTTGAGTTAGCGTTTAATTCAAATTTTCCAGAAATTATAAAACATGCATAAAGTGTATCAAAAGAAGATTTTAAAATACTATGTTCTCATAGAAGTTGAACATTGACTGAGCTTTCCAAAAAGTTGTCTACATTTCTGAATTTTAAAAACACGGCTATAATTAGTGTTAACTAGACAGAAGGAGAAGGTCGAATTTTTGGTGTTGGGTCATTTCATAGAAAGACATTTTATAGACAGGACATTTTATAGATGAGAAATTTTATAGATAAGAAATTTAATAGTTAGGACATTTCATAGATAAGACATTTCATCGACAGAGAAAATTTTCATAGATAAGGTATATTTTAAGAGATGGTGACACATTTTCTACATACCCAAAACCTTAAATTGTCTCTGAAAAAATTGCATTTGTGTCTTTGAAATCACCTTTTTATCAAAGTTCTGCTCTGTCTTAGAAATTACCTGGCTATGAAAAGTCCTATCTCTGAAATGTCCTGTCTATGAAATGTTCTGTCTATGAAATGTTCTATCTATGAAAAGTCATATCTATATTATTGTTCTCTTTGAAATGTCCATCTATGAAATACCTTTCTATGAAATGACCCAATAACGAATTACTGGTAAGACTTTGTGAACTCGTAGCTCCTCTATTTTTGATTTTAAGCTCAAGTATTATGTTCTTCTCACTAGCTCTTCAATTAAAGGAATTCTAATTGAAAACTATTAAGATTTGAATGTTACGTGACCGCGTTTAAGAAAATCGAGAAAGATTCCGTTTTATTTAAAGACGAGTTTAAAGATATCTTTTAATAACCAATTAAATCTAAGTTGCACAAGAGGGCGTATATATTATTACATTAAGGCGAGTTGAAATAAGATTAAATTTTCAATTTGCACGTCTCAATATAAATTTCATATTTCATCTTGACCAAGGAGGGAAGCTTTGGAAAATCTCTATCCCGTATAGAAGGGAGTGAGAAAGGGTGGATTTTTTATAATCACATTTTTCAATTGTTAATTTTAAAAGTTTTTTGAATTTGATCGATCCTTATTTCATTTTCGTGTATAGTTCCTTTAAGACATATTAAATTTCGTCAGCTCTCCCTTTAAATATCCCCTGTTGTAATCAGGTTTTATAGTTAAAAATAATTATATTAAGCGGCGCCTTTACCACACGAGTAATAAAGCACTAATAATTCTAATAAATATAATTAACAGAAAACGGCCCGACACGTTTTTTAACAAATGGCTGAGATCAGGGAGGGTATTCAATTTAAAAAGGAGTGGAAGGGGGGGGGAGGTGGTTCTTGTTTTTATTCTTTTTTAATGTTTTATCTGTTGGTCTTATTTTCACTCCTCTATCTTTATTTTTATAATTATCAAATGCACGAGAGAATAATGTATATGTGTGTGTTCTCAATGTGCGCCAATAATGTATTTTCTAAATGTAAGCATCCTTTTAAAACAGAGAATGTTGATAAATATCAGGGACACAAAGAATTTCTGTTTTTATTTTCATTAGGAGACTTAAATATTATTTAGAAATAACATGGTTTCCCTCTTATTTTACTTCATTTGGGATGATTGGATAAACGACCTACTGGTTGTGTATAGGGATGATTGGATAAACGACCTACCGGTTGTGTATAGGGATGACTGGATAAACTTATTCGTTCTTCACGCAACCTCTCCAGTACAAGATTTCTCAGGGTATTCGGAGGGATTGAAATCCGACCCATTGATCTCATTGATCTCCGCCCTTCGTGGAGCCGCCCATCCCCGTCGGGTAGTCGTTGAATTAGATCCTCATCACTTCGGGAGTAGTTTACTCTTCCCGTATAATCATCTTTGGAAACTGCAAAATAAAAAAATTATAAAAGTTTTTTGACATTACAAAATACTGATATTTCACGAAATAAAAAATTCTAAAGTTTTTTGACATGACAAAATTGAAAATACTGATATTTCACAAGATAAAAAAATTAATCAACATTTGTAAATTGGGGAGAGGGGTCGCATTGTTGAAAATGTACAACATAAAACTCTGGAGGAAAGAAACAAAAAAAGTAATTTCTACAATATATGTAAAGGAATCATTCTTATATATTAGATTACAGTATTAGACACATGACACAGTTAGGTGAGATCTAGATTAGACATTTAGACAGCTGGGGAGACATGGATATACAATTATAATATAGTTAGACAATTAGACAGTTAGGGAGACAAGGATATACAATTATAATATATTTAGACAATTAGACAGTTAGGGAGACAAGGATATGCAATAGACAGTAAGGGAGACAAGGATATACAATTATAGATAGACAATTAAGACAGTTAGGGAGACATGGATATACAATTATACAGCTAAGGAGATATGGATATACAATTATACAGCTAGGGAGATATGGATATACAATTATATTATAGTTAGAATAATAGACAGCTAGTCCGTGTTGACATTGATAGCTGACGAAATTTTGCCCATTGGTTTGACACTGATAGTTTCCAAGCTAGTGTCCGTGTTGACATCGAAAGCTGACGAGATCGTGCCCATTGGTTTGGTATTGCTAGTTCACGACATTGATAGTAAAGTGAAACTGATTTGTAACTGGATAGATACGGGTCTGAGAAACCCTTATGGAGTAGGCATTTACTACATGAAGACATGGATATACAATTATAATACAGACTGACAAGTAAAATATATATATATATATATATATATATATAAAGGGAGAGTANACATATTTGTTTGTTTGTCTCTATACTCTCTACATATTTGTTTGTTTGTCTCTATACTCTCTACATATTTGTTTGTTTGTCTCTATACTCTCTACATATTTGTTTGTTTGTCTCTATACTCTCTACATATTTGTTTGTTTGTCTCTATACTCTCTACATATTTGTTTGTTTGTCTCTATACTCTCTACATATTTGTTTGTTTGTCTCTATACTCTCTACATATTTGTTTGTTTGTCTCTATACTCTCTACATATTTGTTTGTTTGTCTCTATACTCTCTACATATTTGTTTGTTTGTCTCTATACTCTCTACATATTTGTTTGTTTGTCTCTATACTCTCTACATATTTGTTTGTTTGTCTCTATACTCTCTACATATTTGTTTGTTTGTCTCTATACTCTCTACATATTTGTTTGTTTGTCTCTATACTCTCTACATATTTGTTTGTTTGTCTCTATACTACATATTTGTTTGTTTTCTGTGTGTTTGCTGTTTAAATGTGTTTTTATTCTAAAAGTTTTAGTGCAATACTTATAGCAAAAAATGTTCAAATAAAAATCAATATTTCTCGGATTGTTTCATTCATTTTGTATTTTTATTGATTTTTGGTTAAATTTGATTGATTGTTTATATTGAAAAATCATTGTCAACTCTATTTGTTTGTTTGTTTACGCGCGGCCCTTGCTTTGTATTCCAATACGTGCACGCACATCATGCTTTTGTGCTTTTGTCTGCCTCACCAGCTGCAGTGAACAGGGTGTCCGATTATATATAAAAATAAAATAATTGGTTCAACAACTTATTAACAGACCAATTCGGTTTATGAACAGATTTGCACGGATCTCATTTATATTTCGACAAAGTAATTTCTAAATTGGTTTCTGTGTTTAAAATATATCTAATTTGAACGTTTTGGGCAAAGGTTGAGCGTTAAAATTGCAAAAACATATTTAAATCATCAAAACAAATTTATGACGGACAAAAAATAGATTTCAAAGCATATTTATGATACCAAAAGCATATTTTTAATGCTCAAAACATTGATCGGCAAAACAAAAACATATTTTAACTAATGCCACCGAAAAAAAAAATGACCTGTACTGGATGAAGGACTAACAGTATGATGATGATTGTCTAGACGACCACAGCTGGCAGGGACAGCGCTGTTAACATATAATAGCTGTTAGAAACCGTTTTCCGTTAATTGTAAACAAAATAAGGAAAATATTTAGATTTTTGAAATGTTACATTAATATAAATAGTATATAATTACAATTATACAATTATGGAATTATATGTTGTATGTTAAGGAATAGAACTTTGCCACAAACTGAAATTTTCTAATATAAAAAAATTGGCTACCAGATGGAGTAAAATCCTTTGATATTTAAAAATTATTATTTTATCTAACAGAATTTAAAGCTTGAAATATCAAAGGTCTACGACATTGTGTTGCATTGATATAGGATTTAAAAAATCAGGGTTTGTTCCAAGGACTCAATTCCTTTCTATTTAATGAACAAGAAACCTAACGTTAGGATTTTAAAGTTTTTACTTTTACTAAACATTTTTCATCCTTTTTTATCCTTTAAAAGTGTAAGTGAAGAGGAAAAGCCTTATCATTTAGCTAGCATACGAGCCTTAAGCCGGAAATTTTAAAGAGATCGTACAAATAGAATAGAATATATATTAGAGGTGAATTTACTAGAAAAAGTGTAAAACGGCCATTTTGTTGTACTGTTTCCATACTGCAGGTGTACTTCACATATTTGTGTTATATAACCTTTTGGGCCCTGGAACATCATTTTATAGAAAATCTAAAATTAATGTTAAAAGAAAACCAAATTATGAAATAGGCTGGTTTCATAATTGACCAATGATCATTTCACATGGACTCTATGCCTTTCACTTTACAAACGATAATTTTCCGTTATAACTATAAATCAAATGATGTTTTTTATTCACCTAATTCATTATAAAGTTTATTTAACAGCTTTAACAAATTCGAAATTGAAATGAACATGCTGTATTAATGTACTCTACTGCATATAATTTGTGAACATTTACATGATTTGTACACTTTGAACTCTCTTTCAGGCAGAAAGGGACTGATAAAATTCATACCGAGAGATTCTCTAAATTTCCCTCTAATATATATTCTATTCTCTATGGTATCGTAGAACGAAACTCCCGAGTTTCCTTTTTGGGGTCTTCACGTTTGCGTAGATTTTAATTTAAGTAATCAGAAAACATAAAGATAAAGAAACCACATGAAATAACATTTCATAACAAAAACATTGGTATCTTCAAAACTGCCTGACCCTATTCGTGAAACCGGGTTTCCGAAACTGGGTTTTATTACGAAACTTGTCTTAAGTTTCTGGGTCTAGTGTGCTCTAATTACTGTGTATTAATGAGATACTAAAATCAATACTAATAATCAGATAGGTCTAAACTAGGTCTAAAGGGCCCGAAACCTCAGCTGGGTGATTAAAGGGACTGTAAACGTGATTTCAAGTCACTCTCATTTGATAGATTGATATGTCCGATTCACAACGGTACCATTCAAATATTTGTTTTTCAAGTATAATTAGATTTTAGTGTTTTTGTTTTTGAAAACTGTTTATTTTCATTTGTGGTTTTTAGTCAGAATATGCTCCACATTATTGATTAGATTAAGATTTCAAGGGTACGGCCACTTGTTAGGTCACTTGAAATTACGTGTATAGTCCCTTTAAATAAAAATATTCACTTTAAATTACGTGTATAGTCTCTTTAAATAAACATATTCACTTGAAATTACGTGTATAGTCCCTTTAAATAAAAATATTCACTGGAATTTTCTCTATTAATAATCTATATTAGATTTTCAAACGATTAAGAATAATTATTTTTAAAGAATTGTTTTTTTTAATAATATTTTTAATTTTCAAGTCACCTAATTGAAGTTATCACAGATATATCACTTGGACAGTCAGTTGTTTCAGTTC